TCCACGCAAATTTTTCACGGCGAAGAAGATTACAGGAAACCGTGGGGGAAAAGAACACATCGGCTTATGATTTCCGGCACTTGAGATAGTATCTAAGTGGGGAATGATCAGGGCACAGCTTCTTCCCAGGTTTTGCGCTCCAAGTTTGGAGAAAGCCGTCAGCTACACACAAAATATTAGTCTTTGTGTGCCCCTGTTCCAGGATGGAGCTTGAAAAATGAAAACTCCTAAAAAAGACGCCGAAGATGGAAAAGACCTTAACGTCAGATTCGATACCAGAGTCAGACCGAGGCAAGGTACCCTCCATGGTTCATGAATAACCATCGATCAAGTTTTTTTGCGCGAAAATCTGTTTCGCTTGGGTCATCACGGGAAAAAAACGCAGACGTTCCTGACAGCCGTACACTTTTTCTTCGATTTGATTCGAGCTTTTTCTTGCATGGGAACTGGCGCGTCGTGGGCGATCGCGTCTGTGTGTGGCCTTTCAATACTTGGCATCACGCACATCACCTTTTCTGAACGTATTTTGAAGAATTTCCGGGAACATTCAATCAACTCATATCAATTTTCACATTTAAGTCTGTGTAATGTTATTTATTTATTCACTTATTTGTTTATTGATTTGTGTTTTTCTTCTATTTTGCTTATTCACTTACTTTATGTATAAAATTTAAATAGACTACACTGAAATCACATGATAACTTTCGAAATAAAATAATAGTATATAGAAATATTTTGGTAAAAGCCCTGTGCTATAGTGCTAGGGAAAAAGGCCCTGCCTACTTTTAAACTCTTGCAGGACCTGAGTACAATATTAAACTGTTAAATTTCAGAATGTTTGAGATTTTGCATCGCGTTTTCTGTAGTCGCCTTTCTAGCCTTCCCTCGATGCCCCTGCAACGACGCCTCGTTAACTTTCAACGAAAGTACTAGTAAAATTTCAATTTTCGGGCGGGCAGCTTCAGTGTTTCGCGCCAAAAAAACGGGTTCTTGGCAAAGGTCTTTGTGATATCACGTCGCGATGTTTACAAGTACAGCACGAACCGGAAAAATAGCGCGGGCGGCTGCACATGGTTAGCGACCGGTTCGTCGAAGCGGGTGGTAGACATCAATGATGTGAATTCCATTCAGCGACCACCCACCGTGTGTCTGGGAAACGGCGCTTGGGAGAAGTCTTCGAAAGCCACGGTGGCGAAGCTATCAGCTCGAAGGCACAACGACTTTGCGCCATCCAGTCTACTTACTTCTGTGATGTGATTGATTAACTAGTAGCCTTTTGGCTTTGGCCTTTTCCTTTCTGTTTTCTTCTCCTTTCTTTCTATTATTCATTTTACGACTATCATTTTCGAAGGTACAAGGAGGGAAGGGGGGAGGGGCGGGGGGTGGGTAAGAATATGAAACTGCAGGTCTGTACCAATAAGAACCGAACAAGAGGACTACAGACTGTAATGAAGTATTATGGGAAAATCTTATAAACCCTGAAAGGCTAAGTGTAGTCTTCTGGCGCAGAAATTACATGCACGCATAACTCGCGCTTATGAATTGAGGGCAAGGTTATGGCGCAAATCATATCGGAGTAACCTTCAAGACACTGAGGTAAGTGACCAAGTTAGGGTAACCGCTTTCAAGGTTTTTACGAATTCTTGCTCTACATCTCTGATTGCTTTGCCGATTTTGCTTCAGTTCCTAATGTGAGTGTCTTTAAGAATGCCGAACTGTGATAAAAACACCTTGCCCTAGCCGATAATCGGACCTGATCTCCAGCTATCCGGGCACGTAAGCTAAACATGTGAGTCCTCAGCCGCAGGCGAGAAGGCGCTGTGCCTGCTAACCGAACATCTTTACATTGGACTCATCAACCCCTAAAGAAACTCAAATACGACCGCCCTAGTGGAGAACAGCGCAAGCTCGGTTGATCTTGGCTACACGCATAACTTGCAACTTCCCTGTAGACGGAATTCCGTTAACAAGTCGCCGTCATTCATACAAAGCACAGCTGGTGCGAAGTGCGAGCTGTGAATGTGTGTGACGAAGGATGACAGACCGTTTCGTCAACATATGTATGCACTCTCATGACTCATGAAGGTCGCTTGCCCAACTCCTCTCACAGTCCTCCTCTTCGGCATTTTACTTTTCCTTGCGTAGCTTTTAATTCGTTTCAAAAATGACCACCTTCAGTTGATTAGCCAGTAGTGGTTTTCTGGGTTATTTGGAGACCATGACGCAACGATAAGTTTTTTTCGAACGTTATCGATATGGCACATCGCCTGCCGTCTTCAAAATCAACTCAGCCAGCCACTTACTGTGCCCTTGGAAAAACGGATCTTCAATTGTCGACTCTCGAATTTTCAGACGTCACGAAAAGGAACGTGTGCCTTTCCGTTATTGCGAAATCACTTTCCATTATGCTG